CCCTATATATCCCGATGTACCCCAATATATCCTCATGTACCCCGAACCCCCCTTAACCCTAAATCCTAAACCGTAAACCCCTAAACCCCTACACCCTAAATCCTAAACCCTAAACCCCAAGCTCCAGGAAAGAAAGGATCCCTACCTTTGCCGGGACCTCGGACGGCGCTGTAGGTTTGCCTCCTGCTGCTATCATACAGCTGAGTAGTATTTTATGTGGGGATATTATGGTATCCAATAATATAGGGTTTAGGGCCCTATAATGGAGAATCAAATGAAAAAGAACATGGAAAATGAAATGGAAGCTGGGGTTATATAGGAGTTATGTGAGTAGTATTTTATTTGAGGATACTATGGTATCCAATATAGAGTAAGATTATATACTCCTTTTGGGGGTATAGTATTTTATATAGGGAGTGTTATCTTACTGGGTTTAACCACCAAAAAACACTACTCAGCTGTGGTCGCTACGCTTAATGAACGAAGCTCCTATCAGAAACGGAAACCTACAGGGGCCTGCAAAATATGTTTTTAGATATTGGTTATTCTATTTGCTTATTCTAATCCTCATAACAACCAAACCCTAAACCCTAAACCCTAAACCCTAAATCCTAAACAGTGGCAGCCGCTCCATGTCTCTGAGGTGGTGACTGCCCTCGCAATTTTAAGACTTTCGAAGAGAGCAGGGGCCAGGCAGCTTTGACAGATCCGGAGGATTAGGGTTTAGGGCGGTTTAGGGTTTAGGGAGTCACGTGGCAGTTTCCCAAAGTTATATAAGACTAATGGAAAAGAAGATGAAACGACACTATGTTATAGTAGGGTATATACTAGGGTTATATAACTACTATAGTATGTTATCGGCGCTGCGCTTCCCATGCTCGCCTGAAACAACAGGATTCCGTCAGTGGCTTGCTTCTACATACTGCCTCCAATCATCATCTGAAGACTGCCCGCGATACAGTCCGTACTGAAAACCCCATAATGACCCTAAACCCTAAACCCTAAACCTCTAAACCCTAAACCCTAATCTGCATGTCTCATGACAGGTGTGCGCGGCAGCTGCCTTCGTGTCCTCAGCCAAGACGCAGTGCGTACATCCAGAGAGGAAGGACCCTTACCTTTGCGAGGAGCTCAGATCCCACAAGGGCTGTAGTCTAAACTCCTGGAAGGGGATTATGTAGGGGATTATATGGGGAACATCCATAGGGGTTATTAAGGGGGATACTAGGAGTTTAGACCCTAAACCCTAAACCCCCTGTAATAGGGGTTATAAAAGGGGGTACGAGGAGTTTAGACTATAGCTGGCAAAGGTTTCTGCAGCTTAGGATTTCCGGAAGCGACAAGTAAAATGGAACCTCCTTCTGGTATCTTTCAAAGGGATTTAGGGTTGAGGGTTTAAGGCCGCAATGGAAGCTTTGGGAGGAGATGCATTTTACCGGGTGGTTAGTTGGGAAGGGTGGAATAGATCCCTGTCGCAGTCCCCTCATGCAATCCTGTGTAATAGGCCAGGATTATATCCTATTCTTCAATCTGTACGAACCAGTGTGTTTTCGTGGACCGCGTTCCACTACTGTTGTTTCTCTACCATATAAACCCTAGACCCGAAACCCTAAACCCAATGCTGTTCGTCTTGTTTGATGTGCCGTTGTATTTCCTTTATCGTCAAGACATGTTTTTGGTACTACTGCTGTCTTGTGAACACTGTTATTACCACGGGCTCTTAATCCTCAAGCCCTCAGAGCCCTCAGCGCTAAAGGTTAAAGCAACACCTAAGCCTCGAGCCCTAAATCTTAACCACAAGGCCATTCTACGCCCCAAGGCCTCACTCAACCCTAAGCCCCTAATCCAAAACCTTACAACCCCACCTCAACATGGTAGTTTCCCTTAATAGGGGGACTCACATATAGAGCCCCAAATACTAGAGCCTTTATGATGGGGACTGCCAAAATGGCATCCCTAGCTTTAGGCAAACCCTAAACCTCAAAACATCCCCATATAATCCCGGTTTCCATTTCATTTTCCATTATCTTTGCCATTTGATTCTCCATCATTGGAGACGATCTTTTCCATTTGATTCTCCATTATTGGAGGCAAAAAAAACATCCCTAAAACCTAAAGCCCAAAACCCTATACCCTCATTGTAGGGAAACTTTACCTTGGGTTTTTTTGACTTCGATCTTGGCCTAGGCGGTGACTGTCCTCGCAATGGAAAGTTGATGAAGGCTCCCAAGGCCACCGAGGGGTTTAGGGTTTAGGGTTTAGGGTTTAGGGTTAGGGTTTAGGGTTTAGGGTTTAGGGTGTGTCTACGCTGCTTGAAGGGGGTTATATATATGGGTATTGGTCTAAATTCCCTATAATACGGGGTCCTATATTTGGGTTCCCATTATAATACGGGGCCCTATATAAATTTCCATTTTGGGAACAGTAATTTAGGGAAATTATCATATACATATTACTATATAGGGGAGCATTATGGGGTTCTTAAGGGGGATAGTAGGAGTTTAGGCTGTAGCTCATTTGGGGTTCGCGGGTGTCGTTGTTGCATGGTGCAGGTTTCTAGGGTTTCAGGACTTTGGTGCTTGCTAGGGATTTTGGACTTTCGGGCTCCGAGTTTGGCATCTATTGGGGGGGAAACGATTCGGGCTTTGCCTACAGTTGCACTGTTGCGCTTCTACTGACCCTAACCCAGACCCCCTAAAGGATCCAAAAAATGGAACCTCCCCAACCTGAACCCATTACTACATTGGGGTAACTAGGGGATTATTAGGGGGTTTCCATTTTTTGGATCCTTTAGGGGGTCTGGGTATAGATTTAGAGTTCCAGGGTGACCCTAACCTGGATCTGACATTTTTGTTCTCTCTGTGGTGCCTGGCTCGCAAGCCGTGCTTCCCTTTCGAGGCTGGCACAGCAAAAACAGAAAGATGGCTACAGCCGATTTTATTTCATCTTCCCAGGCAAAGGGATCATCTTTTAGGGTTTAGGGTTTAGGGGTAACTTCCTCTGTTGCCTTTCCGTTCCACTGAGCTTGCGCAAACCCCTCGCATTGCCATGGATTCCGACACCGAGTCGGAAGGATCTTCCGTTGGGGATTTTGTGGAGGACTGGGTAGGCTCTTGAGATGTTATTTACTATTTTCCCTAATAACTTTAATACGGGACCCTAAACCCTAACACAACCCCAACATTATCGTAATTTCCATGTTATTTTTCATTCTCCCAACATGACCCCAACATACTATAGAAGTTTCCATTCTATCTTCCATTATCCCAATACAGCCTCAGTTTTTTAGTAGTTTCCATTTCTTTTCCATTATCCCAATGTAACCACAAAATATTCTAGTAGTTTCCATTTTATTTTCCGTTATCCCAACATATCACCATGTTTGTAGTAGTTTCCAGTTTCTGTTCCATTGCTAGTAGTTTCCATTTTATTTTCCATTATCCCAATATAACCCCAAAAATATTCTCGTAGTTTCCACTCTATTTTCAATTATCCCAGCATAACCCCAACATATTCCAGTAGTTTCCAAATCCTTTTCCACTGTCCCAATAAACCCTAAACCCTAAACCCTAAACCCTACGAGTCTTTTTTCAAGGGATTTAGGGGCCGACCCAGAGGATGTGCAGCATCGTGGCAGAGAGCGGGAGGGCAAGATGATTCTGGGTTGCTGTTTCAGGAACTTAAGTTAAGTTACCCGAATATGGGTATATAGTAACTTAATTTAGGGTTTAGGATTTAGGCCCCAAACCCTAAATCCTAAACCCTAAACCCTTTGAGTTCCTTAACAGCAACCAAGGATTGCATCCTCCTGGCCCGTCCGAGTGGCAATGTCTCCTGGCAGCAGTCCGGTGCCCTCATAATCTTAGCACTCTTAGGGTTCAGGGAGTTTAGGGTTCAGGGTTTAGGGGGGTGTAGGGTTTAGGGGGTGTAGGGTTTAGGGTTTAGGGGGTTTAGGGAATTTAGGGTTTAGGGTTTACGGGGTTTAAGTTTTAGGGTGGAGCCATACTATGGGAGCTTCCCACAAAATCGGGGGACCCCAATGTAGATCCTAAATGTTATGTTACTATGGAGAACCCCCAAAAGGTACCCCCTAATTTTGGGAAACCTTAAGCCCTGAAGCCTACGTCTATGTATCCCTATACTATAACCCCGACACAACCCATATTCCCCCCTAAGCCCTCAACCCTAAACCCAACAACACCCTAAACCCTAAGCCCTAAACCGTAAACCCTAAACCCCAAACCCTAAACCCTAAACCCTAAACCCTAAGCCCTAAACCTTAAACCCTATGGGCAGCAACACCCATAGGCCAGGCCAGCCAGAGCAGCTCAGGTGTTCTTTCAGCGAGGAGGGGCTCCCACCCTGGCAATGCTCCGTGCCGGAAGAGGAGGGAACGTCCCTAAGGTTGGGTTTAGGGTTTTAGGGGTTTAGGGTTTTAGGGGTTTAGAGTTTTAGGGTTTCAGGGATTCAGGGGTGTAAGGTTTTAGGGTTTAGGGTGTAGGGTTTAGGAGAATGGGATAATGGAAAAGGAAATGGATACGACTATCTAGGGTTTAGGGCTTAGGGTTTCCCTAAGTTAGGAGTCCCTTTATTGGGGGTCCCTATACGAAGGACTATAGTATATTGGAGTCTAGATGTGGTACCCCCATTTCGGGAAACTACCAGGAGCTTTGGCCATTGAAGACAGGCTTTGCGACAGGCATGAAACTTGACGGTTTGTTGGAAACCTTCATGGAAACGAACCTGGAGCCGCTCCACAAATTTCGGCATGGTGACGCCCGGGCTCCAGTCAATGCCTTCCGCTCAGCTAACATTGCAGAGATCGAGGAGGCCCCCGAGGGCTGCCGAATCGCCGAAATCTTCTTCTTCAATGACGTGTTCTTCCGTACTTCCTTGGCGTTTTTCTTCACCGATGCAGAAGCCATGAGTACCTGGGCCAAAGAGGTTGCCAAACCGAAGGTCGGAATCCAAGCCACCCATTCACTCCTTCGACGGGTTTCTTGCCCAGTGGAGGAAGGGCCGGGTATGATCGAGTGGCTCTATGACCTGCTGCTGGGTTGCCGTTAAGAAACTTCTATTACGTGACCATGCAATGGGTAGAAAGTAAACACTAGGGTTTCCCCACTACACGCTACTGACCATAATGGGTATATATATATATACACACATATCTGGTAATGAATATGGTTCCCCCGCTTTTAGTAGCTTTATTTAAGTTCCAAAACCTATATACCCATACCCCTAACCCTAAAAACCCATATACCCATACCCCTAACCCTAAAACCTATATACCCATACCCCTAAACCCCAAACCCTAAACCCTTAAACAGCAGCCCAGGTTCGTGGCCTTTCAGGCTGTGCGCTACTCACCGAATGGCGAAGCCTTGGATCTGCTTGACACAGATGTAGCTGGACTACTGTTAAGGAACTTAAAGTAGGGTTTAGGGTTTAGGGTTTAGGGACCTAGGGTTTAGGGGCTTAGGGTTTAGGGGCCTAGGGTTTAGGGGCTTAGGGTTTAGGGTCTAGGGTTTAGGGTCTAGGGTTTAGGGGTAAGTTACTATAGTGCTTATAAGGGGAGACCATGTTATTCCTAATTACTATATATAACTTCTGTTAAGGAACTTAAATTAAGTTACTATAATGATTATAAGGGGGGACCATATGAATTACTATATCTATATATACATATATACAGGCATACATATATACAACTTACTATAATGGGACCATATTAATCTCTCTCTCTCTATATATATATATATGCATACCCATTACGGCAACTTTATTTAAGTTCCCTACGAGCAACCCAGGTGGATATAGACCATGCCTCAATGACTATTGGGGACTTCGTGAAGGTCGGCTCCATCATCTACATGGTTGGCATTCGTGGTATCTACTGCTTGCAACTGGAGGATCCGGTGCCGATTGCGGTGAGGGTACCCTAAGCCCTAAGCTCTAAAGCCTAACCCCTGGAGGATGCGGATCCGATTGCGGTGGGGGTTGAGGAGTACTACTCCACAGAGGAGCAGCGTGCCATCACTCCGGAGGAAGCCAACCAAAGTTCCCCTACTACGGCATCTTCGCACGTGTCAGGACGCACCTGAAACCCTAAACCCTAAACCCTAAGCCCTGCACCCTGAAACGCCTAACGTGTCAGGAAGCACCACAGCGGTGGCCGAGGATGAAAACAGTGAGGATGAGGATGATCTCCAAAGGCACTTAGCCATCTACAATGAGCCCGATGCTGGGCTGCTGTTAAGGCACTGAAAATTAAGTTACTACAATGGGGGTGGGGGGAACATGAATGACTGGGTATATATATATATACACACACATGCATTATGGTAACTTAAGCCCTAAACCCTATATACCCTATATATATATATACATATGCATTATGGTAACTTAAACCCCAAACCCTATGTACCATATGTATACATGCATATACCCTTTAAGGTAACTGAGTTTAAGTTTCTTAACGGCAACTCAGGATGAGTCGTGGTGGCGCCGGCCGAAAGACAGACGAGCGCTTCGTGCGGAGCTCAGCCAGCACCGCGCGGCCGTGGAAGCGGGGCAAGGCGCTAAGAAGCTGGGTTGCTGTTAAGGAACTTCGGGTTTAGGGCTTAGGGCTTAGGGTTTGGGGTTTGGGGTTTAAGTTCTCATATTATCCCCCTATAATGGAGAATCGAATGGAAAAGACCATGGAAAATAGCATGGAAACTGGGGGGAGTCTAGGGATTTACGGAACTTGATTTTAAGTTCGTACACAGGGCAAACCCTATTATTAATTATAAGTACCCGTTATGGTAACCCTCAGCCCTAAACCCTAAATCCCCTATATATGTGTATATATATACATATATATATATATATGTACCCATTCTGGTAACTTAGTTTAAGTTCCTTAACAGCAACCCAGGAAGGGCAATGGAAAGGTGACCAAGCACTGGCAGCCCAAAGTGCTGCCAAGCAGCTGACCTGCAACCTGGGTAGGCTCCTGGGATATTCAATATTTTCCCTAATGGGTTTCATAGGGTTTAGGGTTTAGGGTTGCCCCTGTATTAAGCTATAGTCTACGAATATAAACCCAAAACCCTAAACCCTAAACCCTATATACGAATATTTCCAAGGATTTTAGGGGCCAACCCAGCAACATTGCGAGGGCTCGGGGGCACAGAACTCCTTCCGACCGCCTCCATCACAGCCGGAGCTGCGGGACGAGTCGAACGGGTTTAGGGTTTAGGAGTTTAGGGCTTAGGGTTTAGGGTTTGGGGTTTGGGGTTTAGGGTTTAGGATAAGTCTCGCCGTTACCCTCAGCCGTCAGGCAGACATTTTTAAACCTTTATAGTCTCTTTTGACCCTTATATGACTTACATAACCCTGTTAACATAGTAGTTTCCATTCTCTTTTCCATCATCCCTGTGCAAAGCTCAATAAATCACCTGTCAGAGACTATGGCGCATTTACTCGCTGCAGCTACGGCAAACCTAGACACTGCCAAACGTGGTGAGGGCTCGAAGGCACAGAACTCTCCTTGCGAAGCCTCCTCACAGCTGCTGCTGCTGCGGAAGGAGTCTTACTTGATAAGTCTCGAAACCCTAAACCCTAAACCCTAAACCCTAAAACCCTAAACCCTTAACTGCAACCCTCGGGCGGACACAGTCATGTCAAAGACTGTTGCCGGTGGACTCCCTGCAGCTACAGCGCGCAAGATGGCACCAGACGTTGTGCCCAGCACTATGTTTCACTGAGGACATCACTTTCAAATGCAGCAACATGGGTTATTCAAGGATGATGGAAAAGAAAATGGAAACTATTGTATTGTAGTTATGGCATTATATGGTAGTTTCCCAAAATAAGGAGACCCCCCCAATATAGACCCCAATTTTATCATCCTTATTATGTGGACCCCCGAACAGGTCCCATGATTTTGGGAACCCCCATATAAGGGAATGTATAGGGCTTGGCTTCACCAAGGGAGATGCAGTTCAGATGCCGAAAAGTTGGGTTTCCATGTTCAATTAAACCATAGGGTTTAGGGATTTAAGGTTTGAGGGGTTTTAGGGTTTAGGGTTTCAAGGCTTTAGGGGTTTTAGGATTTAGGGTGTTAAGGTTTTAGGGGCTTTAGGCTTTCGGGTTTAGGTCTCCATGTTCAATGATCTCAGATTTCGGGCTCAGCAAGTAGCTATGTGAGAAGGGATTGGAGCAGTCCTCGCAGCATGATTAAGGGTTTAGGGTTTAGGGTTTAGTATCCCAAGTGGCGTGAGAACAATAGGGATAGGACTACAACACTCCACAAGAATTCTGAAGCGGTAGTTGTTGTCAGCTTATGAGTCGTCGTAGGCCATAGGAATTCAGTAGTTTTGGAAACCCTAAACCCTATGTATCCCTTTATTCCCCTATATACTCTCATTAAGCCTAAACCGTCAGTCGCAAAACCCTTAATCCCTAAACCTCACGTCAAACGGCCCCAGGTGTGTGCCGCAGCAGCTTTCGTGTCCTCTGCCAAGACGCAGTGCGTGCATCCGGACAGGAAGGACCCATACCTCTGCGATGGACCCAGCATTTGGGTTTTGGGTTCAGGGTATTTGACACTACTTAAATGGTAGTCTCCCAAAACGAGGGGACCCGGTGGTGGTAGTGGTGGTAGTGGCGGTGGTGGTAGCGGTGGTGGTGGAAATATTTCTGTTCTGACTATTTCCACATTAGATTATCAGCAAGAAGTTGTGGAAGCCAGTCAGGAGGATCTGGAGAACACGTGCCTTGCGCCCAAAATAACATGGAGCTCCTTGCTTAGAGGTTCGTCTTCCCTAAACCCTAATACCTAAACCTAAAACCCTAAATCCTAAACGATGATTGATGGCAACTGTGCCATAGCAAATTGTTTTTGTTCTTGTTGTTCATCTGAACTCCTCACAAGGGATTATATTGGGGATTATCTACGGTTGCCATTATGGGGCTTAGTAGGGGGGATACTGGAAGCTTGGGCCTGGGTCATCTGAGGCGGGGACTGTCCGCGAAATCCGAAATTCACAAACCTTTGAGTGAGGGCCGGGCCCTCAGCTGCTCCTTGCTCCAACTTGTGACAGTGCTGGGGTATTTTCTGAGAATAGGGGGCCTTGTGCCCAAACAAGGAAATCTCCGGGACACCAAACAAGAGACACCAGCCATGATTTTGGGGAACTAAAAAATCGACCGCATTTCCTGTCACACAGCCTTCTGTCAAAAAAGCGACCGTGCGACAGTTGTACGGATTCTCAGGGGTGGTTTAAATCTTAGGTAACTACCAACAAGGCTGTCTAAAACAGCCACACAGATCTTACTCATGCCACCCGGCACTTCGTGGTAAGCTCAGTGATCACAGGCTAGCATTCCACAGCAACCCTTACAGGCGCAGCGTGAACGTCTCATGATATTTCAATAATTCCTCACCCCAATCTTGGTGAGCTGCCCCGAGACACCCAAGCCCCACACACATTCAACAAACTGTTCCTACACCTGACCAAGACCTTAAACCTTAAACCCTAAACCCTTGAGCCCTGAACCCTGAGCCCCAAACACTCCTCCTTCCCTACATTGCTGGTATCTCCAGCTCCCTCTGAGCTATGGCCGTGGCTTTTCAGCCGCTCCCCGTTGATGGCCGCAAGCCGGATGCAGAGCTTTGGAGTGCGAGTGACGAGGCGATTTTTGGGGGTTTAGGTTTTTAGGTTGTTAGGGTTTTAGGGTTTAGGGTTGTTAGGGTATTAAGGTTTTAAGGGTTGTTAGAGTTTAGGGTTTAGGGTTGTTAGGGTTTCAGGGTTTAGGGTTGTTAGGGTATTAGGATTTTAGGGTTGTTAGGGTTGTTAGGGTTTAGGGTTGTTAGGGTTTCAGGCTTTAGGCTTTAGGCTTTAGGCTTTAGGGTTTAGGGTTTAGGGGTGCATTACCCACACTAATGGAGAATCAAATTGAAAAAGAACATGGACATGAAATGCACACTGGGATTGTAGCGTAGTTTATATGGATCAGGGATCGACTTTCTGAAGCATACTGGTTGTGAGCAGGGAATAGGGGACTATATCATATAGGGTTTTAGAGGGATTATTTTCCGGTTTGTACACGGTTTGAGGGTTTAAGTTGTTGGGGTTTAAAGTTGGGGGTTTTAGGGTTGGTGTCTAGAGTTTTAGGTTTTCGGGTTGATATAGGGTTTTTAGGGTTTCGCTCTATGGTTTGTATAGGACTACTCCCGGGTCCAAGTACCCAGATCGTGGAGAATCTAGCTCCGAAATACCTATACATTGGGTACTGCCCCCCCTCAGTAACAGTTGGATAATATCTAATATATGGTTATATATAGCCCTTAATAGGACCCCTAATATAGACTGTTACTGGGTGGGGGCAGGACCCAACCTAAGGAGGAACCCAGTTGGACCCAAACAATCACCTATAGTCCCCCTTAAGGCGATAGAATATGGTTTTGGGTATATTAAAATACGATCCCCACATACCCCATGTTCTATCTACTTAAGGGGGAATATAAACCCAATATATACCCTATTATACTATAGTAGTTCCCATTTTCTTTTCCATTATTCCCTATGTAACCCCAATAATATACTTCATATTCTAGCTACTTAAGGGTGACTACAGTTACATCCTTGGGGGCCTTCGGAGCTTGGGTCTAAGCTTTATGGTTTGAATGGGGGTTGGGGATTCATGGTTTTAGAGGATTGATGGTTTGGGTCCAAGGATTTGGGTCGTTTGAAGGGTTCTCGGGGGGTTTAGGGCTTCAGGCTTAGCTTTGGGGTTTCGGTCTACGCTATGGGGTTTAGGTTTTCGTCGTCATGGCCGCCGCCGCTGCCGTCGTCGTCCTGCTGCTGCTGTTGCTGTTGCTGTTGCTGCTGCTGTTGCTGTTGCTGTTGCTGTTGCTGTTGCTGCTGCTGTTGCTGCTGCTGCTGCTGCTGCTGCTGCTGCTTCTGGTGTTGGCGGCGGTGGTGGCGGTGGTCGCGGTGGTGGCGGCGGTGACGGTGGCGGCGGTGACGGTGGTGGCGGTGGTGGCGGCGGTGGTGGTGGTGTTGGCAGTGGTGTCGGCGGTGGCGGCGGTGGTGATGGTGGTGGTTGTGCTTTTATTGGTGGTGGAAATGTTTTTATTCTGACTAGACGCTGCAACCAGCCAGCACTATGGTTCGTATGGCACTCAAGCTTGACATGTTTCCCCATTATCACCAGGAAGTGTTTGAAGCCAGTCAGGAGGATTTGGAGAACATGCCCTGCCCTCAACCTAACATTATGGAGATCCTTGTTTAGAGTTTCGATTGAAAAGAAGTGTATTTGTAAGGACCCCGGTTCGGGTTCCTTGTTGGTTGTTGGGAGAGTAAGTAACTGTGTGAAGGACCCCTTGCAGAGCATGCGGACGCCTGTAATTTTTTACCCTTCTTCATCCTTGCTAACGCCCAAGAGATTAAAAGCCAGCACCAGACCCATACAGGAATCCTAGGTCCTAAGCCCCCAACCCTAAACCCCTAAACCGCGATGGCCCATAGCTCAATTTCCTCTGCAGGAGCAAGAGTCGACAGGCTTCCGCCTGCCCTGGGGAATTCGGAAAGTGCTCCTCCAGGACGGGGTTTCCCGAAGCAATGCCATTGGCCAGTTGTACTACAGTCTAAACTCCTTAAACGGGGTTATATAGCGGATGATACGGTAGGGGACTGCTAGAGGGATTATTAAGGGGGATACTAGGCGTTTAGACCATATGTCATTTTAAGAATCCAGTGAAACGAGTCATGCACACAACTGGATGCATACAAATATAGTTACACATGTGTGTAGCTATGCGTGTGTGTGGTATACTCTATATATATATATGTATACATATTATACGTAGACACATGCACTTGTAGGTATGGACGTTGATCTGTCTGTATATGTACTATATATATATAGATATATATATATATATTTTTCCCTGAACCCTAACCTCTAAGCCGATATATATACATATATATATATAGGTACAGGTCACAGAACACATCTTCCTTTTTGCAGGTTCCAAATATTTGAGAAATCCCTAGGAAGGCGAGGGAGAGAGCCGTCCGATGGGCGGCGATGAGGCCTGGACAATCTGAGCTATAGTCTAAACTCCTTTAAAGGGGGTTATACAGGCCACGCGGTTTAGGGTTTAGGGCCTAAACTCCTGAAAGGGGGTCCTATAACAAGGGACTACTATAGGGGCTCTGAAGGGCGATGCTAGGGGTTTAGACTATAGGACATATGTTATCCCAGTTTCCCTTCCACTTTTTGTCTTCTTTTCCATTTGATTCTTCATTATGGGAGTAATATCCTTAAACCCTTTGTAGAAGCCGTAAACCCTAAACCCTAAACCCCAGTAGGAAGATGGTTTGGGTGGTTTGGGTTTATAGGGTTCAGGGATCCTTGTGTCGCTAAGTTTCACTTCTCTGACGTTTTCACGAAAGGTTTCAGGTTCAGGGTTTAAGCCTTGAAGCTTACACCTCAACTGAGCTAAGCCGCGAAACCCTAAACCTAAACCCTGAACCTATTAACCCTAAACCCTATTAACCCTAAACCCTATTAACCCTAAACCCTGAATCCTAAACCACTACATCCCTAAAGCCTCGAGTTGCAGGTCCGTATCCACTTCGAGGTGCGGCTCTTGGATGGAACGACCATCGGCTCCTCAAGGGACAGCAAACCCTTCGAGTTCGTCATCAACCAGAGGCGGGCATGTCGGGGGTGTCCAAATCTCAGTCATACCCTAAGATTTTACGGTTTAGGGTTTAATGTGTAGGGTTCAGGGCTCAGGGTTTAGGGTAACCGTGGGGAGTTTGTGGATTGCAGCGCTTGGGGTGAGGGGTGACCCTGCTTTGTGGAAGCACCCATGCTGTGAGTTCCAGGGTTACAACATCACTTTAAGGGTGTGTGCTCCAGAGCCGAATACCCTAAACCTTAAACCCTAAACCTAAAAGCCCTAAACCTGGTCTCCGGGTTCAAGCCCCCGAACATGTATGGTGTAGGGCTCAGGGTTCCAATTTCGACCCCCAGAATACTACAATCCTTCTAATAGGGTTTAGGGATTAGGGTTTAAGGACTAGGGTTCTGGGTTTCAAGCCCTCAAGCTCTAAAGCCCTAAAACTTGTTCAAATGGCTGCTGCCCTGTGAGGCCGAGGGAGATTATTCAAGGCTGGGGCGGCCTGCACAGACTGTTACCCTTAACTCATGTGAGCTATAGTCTAAACTCCTTAAAGGGGGTTATTTCGTGGGAATTATATTGGGGAGTATCATGGAGCTTATTAAGGGGGATACTAAGGGCTCATGTGAAGATGGAACTTCATATGAGATGAGTTTTCCTATATGAGCTATAATCACTGTTACGATTACCTAGGGACCCTTACACCCTCTTGTAGTGAAATATACTCCCTCTTATCGTCCTTTATAATGAAGGAACCCATGTCCAGTCATTATCTGGGTACCTAAACCCTAAACCCTAAACCCTAAGCTGTAGCTCGTAGGGTTGATGGTGAATGCCTATTGGTGTCAGTCCATCCTCCCTGGCTGCATGCGGTCATTTGGGGAGTCCGTATATACCCCCCCCTACCTTGTCTAGCCTCCCTTCTAAAAGGTCAGTAGTCTACAATGGATTTTGTTTGAGATTTAAGCTTTCATGTTGATTGGCATGAGTGGAGGTTTACTACCATTCCTTGGAGTAGCTAGGATTGCTGTTGTCACTTCGCTTTTTTCTATTCTGACTAGTATTGTTACCTTTCTGATTGCACGGGTTGTTGTCAATACTACCGCTATTGCTCGAATTCGATCAATGTCTCCCTTCATGATCACGGGTTCATTTGTGCGTAATCCATGTACGACTATTGCGATTATGATCGTGAATTGTATTGGCCTTTCTGCGGAGGCCTGGAGATAGCCGTGCAATCCATGAAGTGACTTGCCAGCACCGATGATGAGGAACCCCCTTCATGAAAGCGTAAGCCCCAATAGGATTGCGGCTGCCAAATACCCGCACACCCTACTCCTTCAACCCGAACTTTTTGCTCAA